CCATTGAAATCCATGCAGAATAGACCAGGTACTCTGTCTTTTTGTGTGTGAAACCATCAAATCTAATATCGAGTGTGCAGCGGTGCTCGGAGGTATGCTGCTTCCACAAGAGGCTCCCTTGGCCCTGCTGTGGTAAAAGCCCAGGATAAATTGCCACTAACAGGGTTTTCTAGCTGGAGTCGTAAGTATGTCTGAGCATCCCCCGTGAGTTATGATATGGCCTGCACGCGCACTGCTCCGCCGTCTTGCCTGCCTTTGGGCTGTTTGCTTGTCCTGCGGCCCTCCATCAGAGCGTGGGCAGGGGCAGTGGAAAGGGCCGACACTCAAATCTGTTCACTCCACACTTGGCTGGAAGTGCTGACGAGAAAATAGATGGGGACAAGATCAGGCGGGAGGAACAGTGGGCCCTCACTCTTAGCTTGCTGCCCTACTGAGTTCCTGCAGATGAAGCCGTGTTTCTTTTCTGTGGGACATCCCTCGGTGAGCAGTAAATGCATTTGGACAACTTTTTCCCTTTTAATCCACCCTGGTGAGGGTGGGTATTCCGGTGCTGATGTTTAGGTTTCATTCTTTGACTTCATAGCCTATTATAGCCCAGTTATATCTTGTGCTTGAAGCTGATGACTGGAGTAATATTTTGAGATCCTTTATGGATCCCTTTCATCCATGTGTTTATCTGCTCTCTATTCTGGAGTATAATTGAAAATCCACTGTCATCACATCCAAAAAACGGAAGGAAGAATGCACCTAAATTGAGCTGTCGGGTGTTTGGCTGTGTAACCACACGCTCTGGATCGGGGTGTTGAAAGTGCTGTTCTGTGTGCTCTCCTGATGGCTGTGTGTACTTGCCTCTGAGAACAGTGTATAGATGTGCATCAGCTCTAATCAATCTTGCTGAGCAGACTTGCCATTTCTCCGATCGTGTTCAGCCAGATCCTCTGAGAAGAGAGTGGGCCTTTCCCCTCGATGGGCAAAGAGCCAGTTTCCATTTTAAAATCTGTCAGGAAAAAAGAAAAAAAAAATCCAACAACCCAGAGCCTGTGTTTATTGAAGGTTGGTCTGAAAGTCTCTCACACCGTATGCCCCATCAGCACTCGGGTGCCTCTATTTTAGAAGGATGTAAAGGTTTAATCACCCTGGTGGGGATTTAGACCCAGAGACTTGTGAGAAATCTTATTATTTCTAACTGCAGGCAAAGAGTATTAAGGCTCCACTCTGGATCAGGGCCATGACATGTTCTATAAGTAATTTATCTTTAACAGGGGAAGGCCTATACCGAGTGTCTTAGAAACCATACTACGGTTGGGCACTGGCTCATTGTTCCTCCTTTTCTCTTTCCCCACCTCATCTCCTGTTTATTCCCTCTGTCCCGACCTTTTCCTGCCCAATCTGTCCAGTGCCTAAGTGTCTGCTTCACAAAGTCTCCCTTCAAAATGGAGAGCCAGGTGCTCGCCAGTGAGAGATAATAATGTTTTTGCAGTAAGTGACCTCATCGAGGAGTCTGGCATACACCTGTCAAACGCAGGCTCTGAGTGGGCCCTACCTACATCCTTTGCAGTGAAGGAGGCAGGGAGGGAAGACGCCATGGGCCCCAGGCATTCAAGTCTGTGCCCTTGGACATGAAGTATTTTGAGGCTGTTCTCAACCCCATCCCCAGCCTTCACGGAGATGGTCTCCCCTGAAGGCCTTTTGCATCCCTGGGCACATTGTAGGGATGTTTGTGAGCCTATAGTTTCATCTTCATGGGCCCTACTTCTTGCCCAGCTCTGGGTCCTGCCTTTCTGGCGCTGAGGCTAGTGGATGCCCCAGTGGGGCTCTGCTTTTGGATTCATTGCCCCGTTTGGGGAATATAGTTTGATTGGTGGCAGATCTAAATCCACGTGCTAATGAGCTTGGTTAAAGAAGGCTTCTGCTATCCTCTTTTAATCTAGCCCGTGAGTTCCTTGCCACAGTTAATGATCTCCTATAATGGTTTTGCCTTTAGTTTTGCCTCCTGGGTCAAAACAAATCAATAGTCCTCAAAGATATTTAAAAACCATCAGTGTAAAGCTCTTGGGTCCCTCAAAGCCCCCACTTTTTCTTTCCTTCCGGGTGAACATCTAGCTTGATCAGTACAGTAATATTGCCCTTACATCTTCTCTTATCTCCTAGAAATGGGCAGCAGCGAGCCCCTTCCCATCGCAGATGGTGACAAGAGGAAGAAGAAGAAGCGGAAGGCCCGGGCCACTGACTCCTTGCCAGGAAAGTTTGAAGGTCAGTCACTCAGCTCCTGGTTCTGGACCTGTGACTCTGCAAGCATGGGAAGAGTCCCAGTAGCCCATGACAGGCTCATCTTTGAGCCAGCTCATGGCTATCCATGCCACAGGGAGAAAAAATAGCAGTAAGGGAGTTTACACAGAACAGAGAGCAGGGGTGAAGAAAGCTCTCAGGTGCTGCACTGGCTTCCTTTGAGTGGTTTGAGCACCCTCAGTGGCACCAAGCTCCACCAAGCTCCTCCTAGTCTGTCAGAGTTGAACATGGAGTGAGATCGCCTGGTGTGTTCCGGCTCCTTTTCAAATATGGTTCTTTCCTCGATATACCTGGAGGTGCTCTGAGAAGTAAAACCGCTACGTAAGAGGAAAAGAGAAGCACCCAGGGCCATCAGTCTCTCTAGACAGAGAATTTGCCTCCTAGGGATTACAGCTACCTGTGCTGTGTGTGTTTGACTCCATGTTAAAGGGTTCAAATTGTGTTTAGGAGGCACGATGTTGGGTCACCAAACTTTACTGAACACTCTCTGAGGGTAAGGTAACTAGGCTTAGGGCTGCTCCTTTATCACTAGGCATGTGACGAGGTGAAGTGAATCATGGACACTTCTGCAGAGAACCGAAAAGATCAGTAGCCACTCCTAGGGGTAATGGGTTCCCTCTCATCTATTTTGTTTCTTTCATGTGGGACCTGAAATAGCTTCTCTTCATGGTCCGCCTTTCCACCCTTACAGACACGCTAGTGAACTGACTGTTTGAAAGACTGGTTCTAAGAACAAGCACCTTATGAGTCAGGAATATTGGACCTTCAACTGCCCACCTATCCTGATGTGTGTTAAGGGTACTGCCAAAGTGTCCATTGTGAGAGAAGCATGCCATCTTAAATTCTTGCAAACAACAGCATGCCATCTGTTCTTATAAGTAGCTGCAAGACTGGGGCCGGCAGGTGGCGTGGTGGTTAAGGGTGCTGGACTCCCACGTGGCCGACTG